TGTAGCTTTTTTCCAGGATTTAGCAAAATGTAAACTAGTGGATTTCAGTGTGTTGTTCTTGGACCAGTAACAGCAGCATCTGCTAGAAATGCATGTTCTCAGGCTCTGCTGTACTGAATCAGAACTCCGGAATGGGGCTCAACCATCAGTGCTTTCCTAAATTCTCTAGGGGTCTCTGAACCAGTTTTTCAAGAGCATGAAATGGAGTACAGTAATAATATAATGTAATGGAGTTTATATTTAAATTTAGTCTATTATTTTTATTTCTGAAAAATTTCACAGTACTGACCTGTTCAGCCCTACAGTTATTTAATAAATTCTAAGTCATAAAACCTGTTACGGACTTGTAATTGAGGTTTACACGAATTATCAGGCTCAGTGAGAGAGTTCTGGATTTCTTCTGCCTCCCACACTTGCCGTGTAAGTGTCCGTAGCAGGCCCTCACTGGCACCTGGCTTGTGTTCTGATAAAACACAGCATGCTTATTACATTTCAGTCTTGCCTGGGACCTCTGCTTTGAGAAACATTCTGTGCGCTGTTGAACAGGATCCCTCTGGTATTGTTCCCGTAGATGCAATGTAGCAAGTAACCAGTAAATACTAGGCGGCGCTGTGGCTGTCATTACAGAGGCCTGCTTGTTCATTTAGGTTGAGAAGGTTCAGGAGGCTAAACACTTCAGTTTAAAGATAGAAATCTAAAGTATAGGACGCATAGTGGCTAAAGGTGTGCATTGTAATGGTCACATGCAGCCTTACTACCAAGCAGGCGGGTTGGCCAGAGGGCTTGGCATTCCTTCTTTGACACTGTCTCCCTTGTATTTAAGACTGGCTTGACTTGATCAGTTGCTGCATTTGCGTCGCTGTTGTATGTGGTGTTTTTGTGGTCACTGAGTTTCCCATATAAAGGAAAAAAGAATCCGTAAGAGAAGGGATAGCTTACTGAAAGCCAGGAGTATGCTCGTGACTTCATGAATGTTTTCCCCTGAAGAGCCAGGTCAGCCTGTGAGACTGCAGAGAAGACGGACCAGAGTGAGGAGGAGACAGCTTTCTTGCCAAAGGCACGGGGCTCTCCCCTGGGCTTAGGGCAGAATCCGATACAATATCTGTGGGCTCATTTATAAAGTAGAATCCTGTTGTCCCCAAACTCTGTCTATCCTAGCATGGTAAAATTCTTTTATTATATTACAGTTACTGTGACAAAATACCTGATAAAAGCTTAAACTTAAAGAAAGAAGAGTTTGTTTTGACTCATAATCTATCATGATGGGGAAGTCATGGCAGGAGGAGCATGAGATGGCTGCTTACAGGTCACATCATATCTATGGTCAGGAAAGAGAGGGAGAGGAGGAAAGAGAGAGAGAGAGAGAGAGAGAGAGAGAGAGAGAGAGAGAAGAGACTGGTGTTTGGCTCGCTTTCTCCTTTGTATTCTGTCTGTCTGGCACCCCAGCCTATGGAGTGGTGCTCCTCACATTCAGGGTGACTCTTGAAGACATCCCCAGTGGTTTGTCTCCTGAGTGATTCTAGATCCTGTGAGGGTGACAGTATTAACCATCACATCTCTGAACATCCTGGAGGATGCACGAATGTCTTCTAAAGGAACCTGGGGTGGGCGTTAGTGTTCCCACTGAATGGTGGTGGTTTTTTTTTCCTAGGGTACCTTGTATAGCAGATAGGGTAAGTTTTTTTTTTTTTTTTTTTTTTTTTGAGAGGGTGAGGTATATTCAATATTTGAAAGGAAAGAATATTAAGTTTTTTTTTTTAATCAGCCCAATCATTTAAAACAACAGCTAAATAACTGAAAAAATGTTTTATTATCCCTAAAACTTTGCACTGGTATGTCAGGATATCTCCTCTGTGAACAGGGTTGCTGGTATGGAGCTGTGGGGGAGAGGGACTATACATGGGAAGCCTGGTGTGGAGGGAGATTAAGAAGAACCTATAGTTCCCAAGGTTTTCCTCGGTTGTCATTCACTTTGAATTAGTTTGACTAATTCAAACTAATTAGTTGCTTGTTCGAGAACTCAGCTCCCTGTGATCTGACCTAGGAGAAACTGACTAGTCTTCACTAAGCAGAAAATCATTTCTTGACTGTAGAGCTTTTAAGACCTACACTGAAAAAATTAAATTCCCCAAACATCTGAGCAAGATAAATACTTAAATTTTTTTCCTATAAATTAGTTGTAAACTTTCAACACACAAACAAAAAATTGAGGCGTGTTTGCTTCCCTTGGTAGTTTTCCATAGAAAATATTTAAAAATACTTAAAATTTCCAGGGCTAGGGAGATGGTTCAGGGGATAAAAACCCCAGCTTAGCAAGCCTGATAACCTGTGTTTGAGACCTGAAATGTGGTGGCACACATTTGTAATCCTAGCACCCCTACAGTGAGATGAGAGGTAGAGATAGGAGAATTGTCTGGAAGCTTGTGGGCCAGCTAACCTGGAGCCCACAGCAGACACAAGAGCGATCCTGCCTTAACAAGGTGGAAGGTGAGAACTGTCTGCAAAGCTGTCCTCTGACCGCTGTGCTTAAAGAGTTAACACTTCTAGACAGATTCTGTGAAGACTATGAAAGCTTGTGAAATTAAAAAAAATATTTTTAAAGTTTAAAAAAATTTAACTTGTTTTATATTTACTTTTAAAAGTTTTAATAAGATTCACAGGGATGAGAAAGGTGTCCTCAGAGTTCTGTAGATTCATGGTTCCATTTCAAGATGTGTAATTTAGAATGAGATCAAAAAGAAGAAAACAAATAAAAAAAAAAAATCTTGCTGCACACCCCAAAATAAAGAAAACCCAAGAAGCTGGGAATGGTAGTTCAAGGTCATCCTTAGCTGCAGAGACCTCATCTTAAAAAATAGAGAGACAAAAACAAAACCAATCAACCAAAAAACCCCTAAACAAACTCATCCGAGATGAGTATTCATGATTGTCACTTGTGACGAGCGGCTTTATAAAACAAACAGAATTATGGGGGCTGGAGAGATGGCTCAGTGGTTAAGAGCACTGGTTGTTCTTGCAGGAGACCTGAGTTCGAATCCCAGCACCCACATGGTGGCTAACAACCATCCACAACTCCAGTTCCAGGGATTCGACCCCCCTCTTCTGACCTCTGTGGGCATTACATGGCATGGGTGCCCTACACACATGTGCAGGCATAACACTCATATACATAATAAACAAATGAATAAATAAATAAATGAATAAAATAAAAAACCAAATAAAATTCCACACTACTGGCAAAGGTTGTTAATACTTTCTTACAGTGATTTAGAGAAGCAGTCATGTAAGAATGGGAGGCTGGGAAACGCTGAGGCCCTGTGCTCAGGCTGCTCCGTGTGTAGAGCCTGTCCTGTGTAAGGCAGTCTTCAGGATTTGGGATCTGAGACCATGGGAGATGCTAAAGAGCCTCCATTGCTCTTTGGTGAATCAATCATAACTTATTGATGGAAAGCAGTAACTGGCAAAACCAATTAACCAACAAATAGTAAAATTAAATAGAGAAAAGACATCTCCAGACACGCAGTAATTCAAAATTGAGAAAGCAAGGAGCCCCAGGCCAACACTGTAGACGGCACCTTACTTAGGTCTGTAGAATCACTTCAGAATCCACACTTGACAGAACTGCTTAAAAAACCCCTGTGCTTGGTAGGAGTGTTTTCATAATTCTGTCAGGACATAAGGACACCGAGAGACTGTCTTTGAGTCAAACACTGACTTTCTAAAGTTCAATTAATAAGGACTCAGAAAACGTGATTTGTAGTCATGAAAGAAACATCTGGCGGGGTGAGGAGAGTCTCCTGCTTCTAGCTGGAATGTGTGTAGCTATTTGGCTACTGAGGGAAGCCCAAATGATACGCCTTCATTCCCAGAATAGATTTCTGTTTCTTTTCCTCATAGAAAACAGCACTGAAACAGATTTTTTTTGTGGGTGGTGCTCAGTGTATTAGGTATAAAAGGCCACTTTGGTTTTCAGTATGACTTTACAGACAATATTAAAAGGTACTTATGTGTCTATGTTTAAATAACTATTTATCAATATATTACATCTTTTTTGAAGCCTGAGGAAATTGTGTAGATTTAATTAACCATATCCATGTTCTCCCTTTTTTCAGTCTTTTTGAGACAGGGTCTCCCTGTAGCCCCAGCTGTCCTGGAACTCACTACATAGACCAGGCTGGCCTTGAACTCACAGAGATCCGCCTGCCTCTGCCTCCAGAGTGTTGGGATTAAAGGCGTGCACCACCGCGCCCGGCCGTGTTCTCTTTCTAGACTTAAATTTTGACTAATTGATGTAATTTAGCAGATCTAATTCCCTGTCATTCCTTTTCATGTTTAGAATGTATACAGCACACCATTTGGCTTTATTTTGAATTTGGTTTAATACTCGAGCATGCTGTGTATTGCTTGGCCTATAGCAAGTGCTTAATGACCAAATTTATGAACTTAATGTATGGCTGTTGAATTATGATGTTTGCTGATATTTTTTTATGGCCTATCTTTTTTCCATTAATCTTTTATTTTCAGCTAATTAAAAGGGGGTTATTAGAGTACATCTTGGAAAAGAAAATATTAGTCTCTAAAAAAGAATGTTTTTAGAGACAACAACAGGCTGGTTGATAGACTGTAAAATATAAAAAGTACATCATTTTTCTTGGGAGTTGGAATGTCATGTTGAGAAGAAAAAAAGTGAACTAAGAATAAATCATCAGCAATGATTCCTGTGCATGGAGGTGTCAATGATTTACTTACCTCCCATCAGTCTTCGTTCTCAGAGAGGACTGTGTTTCTCACTTGTCAATTCTTACATTCGGGCGAATTGTAGAAAAGTGAACTAGTAACCCCTCTCTGTAATACTCATGTCTAAATACCATGGAAGCTAGAATTGGAGGCTGTTACATTTTATGGATTGTCTCACATCCTGAACGTTGAGAGAAGATGGCAGCCTTCTGTGTCTTTGAACACGATCTCTGTGGTTACTCTCCTTTGTTCCCTCTTTCTAGTCATACAGTTTATCAAGAAAGAAAATAGTGCATTACACCTGTTTTGACCAACGGAAAAGAGCAAATGCAGCATTTTTGATCGGTGCTTATGCCGTAAGTACTTTCTTCATGATTATTTTCTGTGATCAAGTCAGTGGAATATTAACAATGTTAAAGTACAAGCTACTTTTCCAGTGGGACGGGAGAGGGGATTATTGCCAGCTTGGGAATGGATCAAGAATAGAAAGTGAACCATTGATGGGGTGCTTACTCTCTACTCTGCTATTGTTGTTGTTATTATTATGTTTATTGTTATTTTGTCTTTCTGTGACACAGGGTCCTTTCTATGTAGCTGTGGCTGGCCTGAAACTCACTATGTAGTCCAGGTTGGTCTTAAACCCGAAGCAGTTTTTTTTTTTTTTTGTATTAGCTTCCTGAGTGTCAGAATTTCAGGCATGGGCCATCTTACCCAGATGCAGGGTTATTTTTTTCCTAGTTAGTGAGAGACTCTTGGAATCACTATGTGTAGCTTAGAGTCCTACCTAGCAAGGGCAGATCCAAGAAAGAAAAGAAATGTATGTGTGTAAGTGAAATATACTATGGAAAATCTTAAAGCCTGTTAAAGTGTTCTTTTTCTTAAGAGAAGAGGATATTCTAGATGGTATGGGGAGGATTATTATTGTTAATTTTTTTATTTTTTTAAATTGAATTTTTGTGTATTTCATACATAAAATCATCTTTATACCCTTTCCCCTTCCCCTTTGGCACCCTCCCATAGCCCCGACTGGAGTTCATAGAGTCTGTCATTTGTATTAAGGCCTATTATGTAAAGTTAGAGTCCCAAGATATTCCTCAATGCAGGTTCATCCAGTGGGATTTAGTCAGCCTTTTTAGAGTCTCTCCCTTCAGGAAGATCAGCTCTTCCTCATTCAGCAGTAATCAGCTACTCGATAGTTCTTTGACTAAGGTTGGAGCCTGCTGCCCATTTCCACAGTTCTGTGCTGGGATTTGTCTGCTTAAATTTGCATTGGTCTTGTGCATGCTGTCACCATTGCTCTAAGTTCCTATGAGCAAGGTAAGGTCCCAGGAGCCTGTAAGACTCTTTCCATATGGTCATGCACCTCCTCCCCTGGCTCTTACAATTTTTCCACCCTCTCTTCTGCAATGCTCCCTGAGCCCTTGGTGGGTGACTCCCCCCTTCCTCTTTAGCCCACTCCCATACCCCTCTCCCCACTGGAGTTCATACATTCTGTCATTTGTCATTAAGGCCTATTATGTAAAGTTAGTGTCCCGAGATGTCCCTCAGTGCAGTTCATCCACTGGGTTTTAGTCAGCCTATCTGGAGTCTCTCCCTTGAAGAAGATCAGCTCTTCCTCACTCAGCAATAATTAGCTGCCAATAATTCTTCGACTAAGGTTGGGGCTTGCTGTTTATTTCCACAGTTCTGTGTTGAGTTTTTGTCTGCCTAAGTTTGCATGGGTCTTGTACATGCTGACACCGTTGTATTATTGGTAATTTTTAAAATCAATCCATTTATTCATCTCTAAAAACTTTTATAGTAGAAAAGGTAAATACAAATCATGTATATATTACATGATAAGATCTTTATAAAAGTAATTTCAAGTGGAAATTTTGTTCTCTGCAAGTACAACATTGTCATATGAGTTTCATATGAACATCTTATAGTTTCTAGAAGTTTCTGGGTGTGCTAAGAACTGAGCAAAAAGACAGAAGTCATTGGGATTGAAAAGTTCTTGCCGTCTAGAATAGCTCTTCAGGGCTGTGTGTGATACCCAGGGAGGGATATATGTGCTGGCTTAACAGCAGGGAGGATGGTGGCATTTCCCCTCATTCTCAGGGAGAGCCAGAGTGTCTCTGAAGCTTGGAGCTCACTATTGTGTGACCTTTCTTGGCCTGTTCTGAAGACCTTGATGGAAGACACCACATGTAGACACATCCAACCCACATTTCTAGGGGAAGGGGCCTAGCAGTGCTGTCGGGAAGGCCATCAGTGGCTACAAGCCAAGAAGAGGGGCAAGCTGTTGACAGCTGCACTGTCAGCCTGGGCCTTGCTTCTGACTGAGGTGCCCAGTCCCTGACACTTTTCCTCTCTGACATGGCTGCAATAAAGCCTGGGGTCATCCCTTGTGGCTCTTTTTCTTTCTTGCTCTGTAGAAAACATGGTAGGCTAGTGGCTGAAAATCAGAAAAATATGACTTTTTCATCCTGAAGGGACCCTGTGATGAAGAGGTTGAGTCACCTTCTTTCTCTCAGCTTTATCTTCCTCATCTGTAAAATGGGAGGGTTGGTTGCTTTGGCCCTTAGGTCTTACGACAATAGAATTATTTGCAGCACCGGTTGGGCTATTGCATTTTATCTTAAGTGCTTCTGTGAAAAGTTGGGTTGTTGGTGGGAAGGGTTGGTGAAGTGCTAGTAGCCAAACTAAGCAGGCGCGCTTTTTCCCACATTACACTGATAATTGTTACTGGTTCGAAATGGATGATTGACAGTGTGATTGAAATATGGAGTGTCTACTGATCTCTGGACTCAAACCATGAAACAAGCATATTTTTCCTGTGGGGCTTTGTGATGTGTTGTGAGCATGTTATTTCTAGATCCTTTGTCAAGACAAGGTCACCCGTGCGTCTGCTGCTCTATTTTCTTTCTTGTGCCCCTTTTCTCGGTCTCTGTCTGTCTGTCTCTGTCTCTGTCTCTCTCTGTCTCTTCCTCCTACCCTTCCACCTGTCATTCCTGTTTTGTTGTATAGCATGGCCTTTCATTTTGCCAGGCTACCTCTAGAATTTTGAAATGAAGTCTAGCCGTAATGCATGCATTGAGTTCGTGAGAAAATACTCTGCTATAAAACACGTCTCACACAGAAGTTTCCGCTACTTTAAAGCATCCTGAGGGAGAAAGATCAGGTTTGGCGTGGTGAAAGAGGTGCTGAGCAGAGCACGAGCTTGTCTTACACCTTGAAAATGTTTTCCTCAGAAAGTTTGTTTGTGGGGCTAGAGAGATGGCTCAGCGGTTCAGAGCTCTGACTGCTCTTGCAGAGGACCCAGGTTCAATCCCCAATACTCACATGGTGGCTAACAGCCATCTGTAACTCCAGTTCCAGGGGATCCAATGCCCTATTCTGACCTCTGTGGGCTTTGAATGACACGGGTGCACTTAGACACATGCGACAATACACTCATACACATAAAACATAAAATAAAAAATAACAATAAATAAAATATTCTTTTTAAAAAAGGAAGGTTTTTTTGTTTTTTTTCTGGTTGACACAAACTCTTAATAAAAATGACATTAGGAATTGTGGTTCTTCCTTAAAGAAAATTTTATATCATTGTTTCAGTTATCTGTATGTGCTTAATTTTGACACAATTCTTACAAGAAGATATATACAAGAAGTAATACAAGTTATATATATCTCAGCTAATTGTCTTATGTGTTCAATGTTGCTAGTTAGGTAAGTCTCACTCTTATGAGGTAGTTGTTTCTGGGTGCAAAAGAGCCTCTAACTTGGGAAGAGCCATATAGCCCATGGGCCAAACTAGACATGTGTTTTTCCAGAGAGGAGTCCCAAGAGTGAAGAAGAAGATGTGGAATCAGGCAGTGTCCAAGTGGTATTGACTCACAAAGATATTTTATCTCGAGACAAGGTTTTCCTCTGGGCTTCTGTTCTCTCATTGGTAAAATTTGGATAATACTAGGGTTTCCCTGTCTATCTCAGAATCACTCTGAAGAGCAACCATCTGTCTATTTGACAGCTCCACATTATATATCTAAATGATATCAAAAATTTATTGTGACAAAACATAACTTTCCCCCTTTCTCAAAGCTATTTTCCTCAGTAGCCCCAACACCCTCCCAGGAAAGTAACTCCTGTGATTGACTAACTTCAGTCAGAAGTTAGTAGTGATTTTGGTTCCTTAGTCCCCTCCCCTCACCTAATCGGAGGTTTGGTCAGCTCTGACTTCTGAGACACATATTGAATTGCACATCTTTCCATGCACTGTGGTCCCCTAGTCCAAGCCACTGTCATCTCTCTCCTGGGTTACTTCCACAGCATCAGGCATTCCCAACTCTCTGTCTTCCTTTTTCTACATGATTGTCAGAATAATCTTTAAAAAATATCAATTAGATCACTTGGCAACCCTGTTCAGAATCTGCTTGCTCCCTGTTCTTGGCGTCCCCATTTTTTCTGATCTGACTTTGTGTACCCGTGTGATCTCTGTCCTCAATATCGTCCCATCATGCTGACTTTCTAACTGAAAACCTCAAAAGTTTTATCTCACCAGTAGACCTTGCTCCTTCTGCTATCTGCAGCTGAAAAACTTCAGACCTCTACATGCCTGGTTCATTCTCAAGTTATTGTCCCGGGAAGCCTTTCAAACTCCACCTGCTCACCCCACCCTTATGTACCTTCTAGCCCTTTGCTATTTCCTGTTACTCTTTGAAGTTACTGTGTGTTTATGAATTTACTTGTCTATTATCCCTTTCTCAGACTAGAGGGTAGGGACCTTATCTGTTTTGTTCACTGCTGTGTCTAGACGGTGATAAAAATATTTAACTAGGGGTTAGGCCCGGTTGAGTTGAAAGCTGGCCACTAAAGTGAGGCAGAGTCCTGGAAGCTTCCTGCTGCACTGAATCATGGGTAGGTCTAGGGTGGGAGGGGGCTCCAGGGAAGACATTAGGGTGTCCAGGGTGGAGAATGTGGGTACTGGGAGCAGTATCTGTTTAATAACTGGTTTGGAACTAGTTCAGTACATTAGTACCAAATATCTACTTCAGAGGCATGCCCTCTGCATGGTAGATGGCTCTAACCATTCATTGAGTGAATTAATAACAGGATGGCAATATATGAAAACAAGAAAGAAGGCAACAGATGTGGAGCTCCTCTGAAAAGGGTCAAGTTGGACATAAAGTGTAAAGTGGCACCTTCCTTCTTTCCAGAATTTCTGAGTCACCTGCTATGGAATCAAAACATATAACAAAGATGATACCTGGTATAAAAGATCGTGACATGACTAACTTGTAGGCTTTTTATTTTTCCAATTGTTTTATCGTGGTCAAATACATATACCATAAAACTATTACTACTGCAATTATTA